AGAGAGAGAGAGAGAGAGAGAGAGAGAGAGAGAGAGAGAGAGACTCCCCCCTCCCCCGCTGCTCTTAATTGCAGCTTTCCGGTTGCCGTGGCAACTGTGATCGAGGGAGCGAGTGAGTCGCGGGGGGAGAGGAATAAAAAATAGAACAGGGAGAGGAGGGAATAGAGGCGCGGGCGGGGGCACCTGCGGGAGAGGAGGGGCGAGAGACTACAACTCCCAGGTGCTCTTGCGCCTCTTCGGCTGTGTTGCAATTCCTCTTTCCCTGCCTAAAAGGCAAGCCAAGCAACGGCCTGTTTCCCGGGATTTGCAAGAGTGTTATTGTTAATTTCTGATTATCATCATCATCATTATTGCACGTTTCCCCTTCTCTCCTTCGCCGTCCTCGCTTCAAAGGGCTCGGGGAGCTGCGGCTGTCGCGGCCGCGCCGGCTTCGGCAGGAGATGGACGCTGCCGCGGCGGGGAAAGGTCGGTGGGTCGCGGGGCCGCTCTCGGCCCGAAAGGCAGGATGCCCCCCAGGGGGCGCTGCGGAGAGCCGCGGAGGGGAGGGGTCGCGCGGGGGCACGGCAAGGTGAAGCGCGGGCGCGCAGGTGGGAGGCGCGGGCGCGCGCGAGGGTGGCGGGCTTGCGGGGGCAGCCCGGGGGTCGTGTGCAAGGGCGGGGATCCCGGGGAAGCACGTGCGCAGGTGGGCTGCGGGGAGAGATGCGTGCAAGGGCGAGCCGTGGGCTGTGAGCACTGCAGGCCGTGTGCAAGGGGGCGTGTGCAAGAGGGGCGTGCAGGCAGGGATTGGAAGCACCCGGCGATTCCTTCTCCCCAAACTCCTCCATCCCACGGGGTGGCACTTGGGGGGGGGGGAGCCGATGCCTGCGCCCCACGCTCCTGCAGTGTCGACCCACGGCTCGGGGATTCCCCTCTGCTGCCCCAGACCCCATGGATTCGGGATTGGGGGAGGGGAATTATTTGTGGATTCAAGCAGGCCAAGGCCTTTGCTTTCTCAGGTATTTTGGAAACGACGTGTGAAAAGGGCGCATGCAAGGGGCTGGCAGGGGCCCGCAGAGGAAGGAATGCCACGGGCAAGCGGAAAAGCCCTCTGTGGCTTTTGTGGACAAGTCTCCTTTTGCTTTCTCCTGCAGGTGCCGCAGAACCAGCCTCGGGGTTAATTGAAGTGGAACAGAAGTTCCTTTCCGGACCTGACACTGCAGAGAAGTTGGTGGCTCTGGGAGCAACGCTGGACGGCATCCTCACCTTCCGGGACCGGTACTATGACCGTGCGGACTATCGCCTCACTCTAGCAGACCACTGGCTCCGGGAGCGCGAGGGGGCCGGCTGGGAGCTGAAATGCCCTCCACCGTCCACCGCCAGTGTTTCGGGGCCCACGAGTGGCTCCGCCACGGAGAGCCTGGGGCCACGGCGTCTCCCACAGACAGCAAGCAGCCCTCCGGCGCAGCAGCCCCTGCAGGCCCTCGAAGTTGCCGGCCGGCCGCACACAGCCACGCATTACCTAGAAGTAACGAGCCCCCGAGAGACTGTGGCCCGCATCTGTGCCCTCTTGGGTGTGGACCCGGCCCTGGCTTGGCACGACGACGTGGCCGCAGCCGTGGAGGAGCTCGGCCTGCAGGAGTTTGCTAGCTTCGTCACCCAGCGGAGCAAATATCGCTTGGGTGACTTGAACGTGGTCCTAGACGAGATGGACTTCGGGTACGCCGTGGGAGAGGTGGAAGCTATGGTCAGGCAGGAAGAGGTCCCGGCTGCGCTGGAGCAGATCCGAAAGCTGGGAGTCCACCTGGGTGAGGACTTTGGGAGTGAGAGTCAGAATTTAGGAGGGATGGTTCTGGGCTGCGGGGGCATATCCCCCCCCCCCCGGCTGCAAATTCAGTTACCGTCTAGTGGTTGGCAGAGTAGTTCTTGCAAAATGATCATGTTTGCTACTGCTGCTGCAGGGAATTTGGTAGAGGCAGGGCTGAGCACAAAGACTGGCCGGGGAAGGTACATATATGACTTGAATGAGCCTTACCTTTATTTTAAACATTTGCAAGATCAATACAAAAGACCTCCCCCCGCCACACACACTTACGTGTCTTCCAAAAACGGATTTATGCACAAAACCTGAAAAGTTTGAAATTGACCTTTCGGACTGGCATGCGAAAGCATGCTTGGATTTGTTCAAAATATGATTCCAGCTCTCATCTTAGTTATAACGTTTGCCTCTTTTTCTGTCTTTCTGGCAGGGTTTGATGAGACGACCAGGTTTCCTGGCAAGATGTCTGCTTATCTGTATAAATTCAAGCCTGCACAGTACAATGCCTTGTTGCAACGGGGAAGAGTGGCCGATGGCACGAACAGGGAAGGGGCCAGAACCTGATTGGGCCTGGGAAGAACCCTTGGGTTGGTGGGGTGATGCACCCCCGTAAGCTATTTAAACTGGGACCAGTATCATCCTCAAACAAGAGGAAAAGTATTGTGACTTAAATAGTAAAGAAAAAGAGAGGGGGAAGCCCATCTTTCTCTGGCTGTGTATTTCCTTCCTGCAGTTTGGCCTTCCCAGATCTGGCTGAGCAATGCCACCATGTTCTGTGTTCCAGAGTTAAATTGCTCCTGAGCATTATGTGATGTCACAGCAGGCCCAGCCAATAGCAGAAGGGGGTGGCTTACTGGCAGGCGATGGCCAGAGGTTGTCCTGTTAGGGGAGAACAAAATGAATGGGAACCCACAACACGGCACCCGCATCTGGCTGGGAGTGACCGAGAGCAGCAGTAAGCGACGGGACTGTAGGTTTGTGCTGCTCGCTGCTGCGCCTGTTTTTTAGTGACTTTTAGTCCCAACTGGCCTTTACATTGGAGGTTTATGAAGTTTCCCTTGCCTTCCACTTCCTAGCATTCCTGACCACGGGTTCTGCTGGCCAGGGCTGATGGGCACTCTAGTCGAAAATGGACAAAGTGGCAGGATGGAAAGGATGAAGCCTAAACCCTTCATGGCCAGCCAAGGGGGGGACAGAAGCAGATGGTTTGCACCCAGGGCCCCTTGAGCGGCTCTTGGGCCTCTCTCAGAGGAGCCACAAAGAGGGGGGGTACCCCAGTCCTGGGCCGTGGAGTGGGAGGAGGTGGTGGGGCAGCCCCGTGGCAGGCGCAGAGTGCTTTCTGTGCAGAAAAGCTGGATTGGGCAGTGGAGAGAGACCTGAGGTGTCGTGGTTTTTATTGGCGGTCTCCCCCCTCCCCGCTCGCTCTTTATCTCCATTGATTTCTATTTAGGCAGCTTGGTTGTTGTGGAATTTCCCCGTCTAGCTGATCAATTGAATTGATTTCCCAGCAGCTGGGAGTGAGGAGGGAGGAACGGGGCTGACGGAGGTGGGGATTCCCTGCTTCGCCCGCCACCTCTGACATCTCTGGGGTCCGCTCTGCATTGCCTGCCTTTTTTCTGGCGTCTGTGTCTTTGCCGCGCCGTCTCCTGTGGGTCTTTCCTGATCCAGCCCCCCACCCCCATAGCATGTGCTGAGCAGACCAACAACTGCCTTGTGTGTATGTGTGCGTTTTGTGTTGGGGGGTGTGTTCGCCTATAAGTGTGTCTATTAAGAGGGGGATCCAGATGGGATAAGGTTGCCCCCTGATGGTGAGCTATTGGAATTGCAAAAAAAGTTCCTTCAGTGGGAGGGCAGCTTTGCCTGGTCTGGTCCATGCTGCTCATTTCCAGGCAGTCTCTGGGAATGAGTTGATTTCCTCGATTCGCTGCACTGTGGCCCCGGAGGGTAGGGTGTAGGCAAGCCGCAACCTCATCCGGAGTGGGAGCTGCAATAAGAAAATAATAAAATTTAGGTACTCATGCGCTTGCAAACAGGGGAAACGGTGTTCTAAAAAGGGTAGGTTTTCCTTTAGGTGCAGGTTTCAAAGCTGGGAAAATCCCAGCTTTCTTTCCAACAACAGCCAAGTTCCTAGTCCTTAAGGTTGTGAGGTCTGCCAGGGTGGCATGTGTTAATTTGCATCTCCAGGGGGGAAAAAAGCTGTGGAGTTTGGGTAGCCAATAGTGAGGCACCGGAGGAAAGTCTTTGCCCTGAAGGAACAGGAAGTGATGTCAAATAACGCAGCTGTTATGCTACCAAGATGAAAGCACCCTGTGAGAACGGAGGAGGAAGTGACATCACTGCTATCTTTGCAGCAAAGAATGACGGCGTTGAAACTCTGGAAACATCACTGTGAGGTCACCAGTAAAGTGGCCAATCAGAAGTCAGGGCTGGTGTTACATTTCCAGAATTGCATCATGGGAGAGTACAGAAGTGCTGTCACTTCCAGAGCAGTGGCTGACCTGAGACTAGCAAGGAAGCAGAGCTGATAATTTTTTTTATAGGCGGGTGCAAATCTTACCTTGCACCCCACTCAGGCCTGCCTGTTCCCCGTTAGCTTCGCTGCAGTCCTCTTTAGTAGCGGGGCAAGAGGCGAACGGATTTCCCCAGCCGCAAAATGCCATCCAGCGTTGCAGCACAGAGGTTTTTGGGGTGGCTCAAACGGGGAATCCAGACTTTACCAAAGACCAGATAAGAACTGGTTTGCTGATGCGGAGAATCCGGACTGGCAGAGTTTTTAAACTTCCCTCGGGGTACGGCATAACCATGGGGTCAGTTTGGCAAGTCCCTGAGCTTCAAAATTTGCCTCTGTGGCACCAGGAAGGATGACCTTGGAGTAAAAAGGGAGGCAATGGCATCACCCTGACATCACGGGTCCATCCCGGCCTCCTGCCCCTCTCGGGGGCTTACCTTCTTTGGGTTCAGCACTCGGATGAGTTGAGTAATGGGAGAACCCCCCCGGCGTGGAACAGTTGAGCTGCTGGGAACCAGAAGCTCCACCTGGAAAGACTGAGTTGAAAAGGACAGAAAAAGGTTCACGCACGGGGCATTTGCTTTTCTTAAGGCCACCCTAAAAACCGGGGGCATTCTCTCCACCCCGCCTTGGAAAGGATTAAGAAAAACCATTCTGGATATGAATGGCTAAGATTCTTTGGATGGTGAGGAAGGAGTGCAGATTGGGGGTGCTGGATGTCTCTGGTCTCCAAGTGGGGCTGGAGGAATCTCTGCCCCCAAACCCAGAGGGTCCCACTGCCAGCCGGTGGCCAACCATTCTGGGCTGGATGGAGCAGCGGGTTGGTTCCCTAAAGGGCTGTTTCTCATGTGGGGCCACCGTGGGCATCACCGGACATCACCTTGGGAACAGCCACTTGCAGGGAAAAGCCAGGAATGTCGTCGTCGGTCTGGTTGGACACGGTGGCCGTGATCAGCAGCAAGGTGGGCTCCAGCGGGGGGCGCGTCATCGCGAATTCGACCAGAAGGCCGTCGTGTTCGTACACGGTCATGCAGAAGGAAGTGGTGGCTGCGAAAGGGGGCGAAGGAGGAGACGTGAGCCAGGACAGCTCGACTCCTTCCGTCACCCAACCGCTCTCTGAAACCCGCAAGTTCTCCGGTGGATTCCCAGTGAGGGGCTGGCAGTGGGGCTGAGCTTCTTCCAGCTCAAGGGCTGAATTCCAGCGGTGGGCAAAGAGAAAGGCGGACGGGGTGTGACCAAAACGGACCAGATGCCAAGAAGTCTCCGCTTTCCCTCAAGGCCCTTCCTGCCAGCAATTACGCCCTGGGAGAGAGGTTGTGGCAAAAGCCAAAATCGAACACGTCCCGTGTGGTTGGGAGGAGGAGCGTGGCCAACTGGGGAACCCACGGAGCTGTTTTGTCAGACACTTGCTTTGCTTTCCGATCGGAATTCAGCCCAGGTACGCCTCCCTGCATACAGGGCTTGGCTAGCAAGGAGCAACCTGGCAAGGTAGACGGACCTGCTGGCTTCCCGGGGACAGAGAGGGGAGGTATATTGTGTGCATGATAAAACATTCGTAACGGCTGCAGGGCTTTCATCAGACCGAAACATTTCCACACCAGTGTGTGTATTCTTTCAAAATAAAACCAGCACCATTCAAGGCCTCAGCCCACAGAAGATCCAAATGAAGTCCGGAGTCTTTTGTGTCATTTGGCAGGCGTACCTGGTTCCTTTAGTTCTTGCAGCAGATCTAGGAAGGATCCCATCGCTGGGGGAGCCGTGCTGGGCTGAACGGGGGAAGGATCTGTAGGTTCCCCAAGGAGATCCAAGAGATCAGAGACCTAGGGGGAAGCAGGCAACACACGGTGAAGGAGACCCCATGGGCGTCACATCAAGGGGGGCAGGGGGGCAGAACAGGGCCACAGTGCCAAGGAGCGGCCTGGAAAAGCTGAGTAAGTGGGAGCAGGGGTTTAAAAGACGCCCAGTGGCCACCCGCAGCCTCTCGCCAACCAGGGTTCATCCTCGGGCGGAGAGAATTCACGCCGATTTGGTTCCAGCTCAGCCTTTTTATGATGCAGTAATCAATCCAGCATTCCCCGAAGGGACAGATTTTAGAGGAAAACAGGAAAGATGATGGCACTGATTTACAGAACAAGGCAGGCCCAGGTGCTTCGATCGGTATTCTCTGCTTAAAACCTTCCCAGCTGTTGTTCTTAAAATGCCTTTTCATCCCTTGCATCAGAAGCAAAGGGCTCGTGCAACGGGGCCAGTGGGCAGCCTTTGCATCGAATCCTTCTGCCCAGCTGGCATCCAGAGCGAAGTTCTCCCACAGAGAAGCTACAAATTCCAACATTCAGCGGTGGCCCAGCTCCAGCTTCGCCTCTCCCCACGGCCAGGGACTCCCACACACCCCAAAGCCCAACCTGGTTAAGCTCCTCTTTCTGCTCAGGATGGCTGGGTGGCGCCCCCTCCAGGACCTCAGGAGCAACGCTCTCTCCTTCGTTCCCCGGTCTTTCTTTGCCATCGCTGCCTCTGCCCACTAAGGGCATCTTCTCCAATAAAGACGCTCTGTAGGTAAGGAAACACGGAGATTTGCAAAGAGTTTTGTCTCGCTGATGCCTCTGTGCAGCGTTTTCCAGCCTGGGATCCCGAGGACGGATGGAAATTGCACTCCGACACATGCTCAGGATCTGGGCTGCTCCGGAGGCCAGACCCAGAACTGCCACCACTAGGATCTCAGGATCGGGCAGCCGGGAGCCCTTGGAGGAGAGGAAGCTTGTATTGTATTGTATTGTATTGTATTTGTATTGTATTTATTTCTGTGAGCCATCCCGACGCTATATAGCAAGGAGACGCCATATAAATACTTGAAATAAACAAACAAAAATAAAGCTCTTCCCTCCAGGCCTGGCCCCCACAGCACAGCCCCCCGTTTGCTGTAGCACCTGCCCCTGGCCCGACCTGCATCCTGCCTTACTGCCTCACCTCGGCTCTCCTTGCCCGCAGTGGTGTGGCTCGGCCCTGCTCCTCGCCTGACCCTCGATGCATTTGGCTCCTGCCTCCTCCTCCCTCGCTGTGCTGCCTGAGTGACGCAGGCCCCCCTGCGGGGGGAGGTTCATCCACCCCCTCAGGTCCTCCATCCGACTTGGCCCTTGCCATGTATCCCACCAAGTCACCCTGCCTCACGGTCCCCGCACCTCGGTTTGCCTTCCTGTCCTTGACCTTGGCTTGGGAAGGATCACGTCCTCGGCCTGCCCTGATGCGCAGCCTGGTTCTGACTCTGGCTGGCTCTGTGACTATGACTTGGACGTGCCACTGAACTGTCCTTCGGGACGTTGGACTCTGCCCTGGTCCCAGTGCCTCCGTCTTGTCTTGCCTGCCCACATCCCGGGTCTGGATCCTGACACACATCAGCTTGGAGAAGGCTGGCAACAGCATCAGCACAAGCGGTCAAATCCTTGCTCCTTCCAGCCCAGGGTTGCCAACACTCGTTGGATTCACACAGCACAATAGCCCAACCACATGGGTTGAGTCTCGGTTGCTGTTAAACCACAGGCAGTTACTGAAATGTGGGCTAGTGGGCTGTCTGAACCCAGCTGCACTAACAAGCCATGGCTTCTTAACCATTCCATGGTTTGTCCTTGGGTTGTTCCCCCAGGGAACATTCTTCCCTGCAGTGGTGCCCTGACTGGGGGGACACGCTCCCCTGAGAGGTCCGCCTGGCTCCAATGCTTCTTTCCTTTCAGCGTCAGGCGAAAACCTTTTTATTCTCCCAGTATTTTAATTATTAACTTGTTTTATTTAGTGGGTTTATATTTTAACAGAGGATGCTGGGCAACTGTTATTCTTATTTCTATTTTAGTATGAATTGCCTGCAAACCGTCTCGAGACGTTTAAAGTATGGGACAGTATAGAAAAGTTTTAAATGATACATAATAAGTTCCGTGAGCGTGGAATTGCTCAGGAGAAGCTTCATCTCGGAGAAAGCCCGCTGCGTGGCCAGCTGCGGGAATCGCCGCACGGAGAGGACCCAGGAGTCCTGGCACCCAACGCTGCTTCATGCAGTGGCGTCCTGGAGGCAAGCAAGAAATCCCTCCACCCACCTCCACTCCCACTCCCACACGCCCCCGCAGCCAAGCCAGCCGTTCCCACCAAGTACCTGAGGTGGTCGTACTTCCGGAAAAGGGCGTTATATTCGACTGCTCGTTGCTGCAGCTCCACGTCGTGGCAGCTGCAATAAATGGATACCACACTCCGGATCCGGCTTTTTGGTGCAGGTGGCAGATGGGGGTGGGGGGGAGGGGGTTGCAGGAGAAAAAAAACATGGAAAGGAAGATTATTTCTTTGTGCATTTGTAATATGGATAAACCATCCCGAAACCAAGCTTCTTTTGGCAACTTACAGTGAGTATTAAGAATGTGATGTTAAGCATGATCTCAGCGTAAAATGATTAAAATGCGGAGATCAGTAACAGTGTAAAAATGGAGTAAAAATAAGCACCAAGATGTGCATTAGGGGCACTCATTCCATGCGCGGAAGAGGAATGGAAAGGAGTTTGGAAACTGGACAAGAGGGAGCTTTGGAAGAGGCCCGGATCCACACTAAAAGCATGAGTGGCCTGCTGTTCCACCGATCACGCATCCCACGAATCATACATCCGGTGAGTATAGAAAGGGCCCACTCTTATGTATCAAGTCTGTTTTTAAGTGATATATTACACGTGCTTATGCTTCGCATTCAGAAATAGCTCAGGGCAGCAGCTAATTTTTTCAATAGTTAAAAATACTTTTCAACAAGTATTTCAAATACGTCTGTTCTCCGATTATCCCACAATCTACAGTGCCCTCTGCTGGCAAGAACCAGGCACTAGGAATATTCTGGAAGTGATGTCTTGCGTCCCATTCCAGGATCCGCAAAAGCTCTGTCTTTCTCAAACCTGCTTTCCAAGCTTATATCTACACTGCCCTGTTTAAACCGATTTCAAACCAGTTTAAACCCAGCAAAAATAAACTCTGGGAAATGCAGTTCTAAGCATCATGATTTTTCCATGACGTGACAGGTTCCTGGTCAAAAATGTTCTTGCACAGTGGGAAATGGAAAATCGGTTCAAATCTAGCACGAGCCGAAATTCCTGGGCAACCCCGCTCTTTGCAAGCTCTTTCCTCCGTGAGGCTCAGCCTTCGGGGACTGGTGCTCACTTGACGGCGCTGTCCTGCAGGCGGGTGCCAAGCTTCATGAGGGCGGTGAGCGCGTAGGCCCGGGTAGCCGGCAGGGAGAGATGCGACTGCAGCACCTGCTGGAGCAAGGACAGCATCTCCTCTGGATCCACCTGCAGGGGGCGGGAAAGTGCAGAAAAGCCTGGGTAGGCAATTTCGGGGGGCCAGGTGTGCCCGCTCCCCCGTGCGAAGCTCGTGGCCACAGCGGGGACCCGGGTGTCGGGCTCCTCACCTGCTTCGGCTCCACCTCGTCGCAGCCGCCATCCAACAGGAGGCTGCCGTATTCACCGATGCACCAGGTGGCCACTTGGACCAGCGGTTGCTGGGGAGGAACAAGGCGGGTTGTTACGGCACGTCTCCAAACCCTTGGCTTGTGAAAGGGGCCTCGGGGGGCTGGTGGACTGCAGGCTGAACATGAGCCAGCCGTGTGAAGCGGGGGTCAAGAGGGCGAACGCCACCCTTGGGTGCATAGCCAGAAGTGCGGCTTCTAGATCGAGAGAGGTATTGCTGCCACTCCATACGACTCTGGTGCGCCTGCAACTGGAGTATTGTGCTCGGTTTTGGGCCCCTCATGACAGGAAGGATATAGCCAGGTTGGAGTCAGTGCAGCGAAGGGCCACAAGGCTGGTGGCCGGTTTGCAGGGGAGGCCGAATGAGGCGAGACTGCGGGAACTGGGTCTCTTCAGCCTGGAGGAGACTCAGAGGGGATCTGTGGGTGACATACAGGCATGTGAGGGGATGTCACACGGAAGTGGGGAAAGACCTGTTCTCCCCTGCAGAGGAAGGCAGGACACGTGCCAACAGAGCAAAGCTCAGGGAACCCAGGTTCCATCTGGATGCCAGGAAGCACTTCCTGAAAGTCAGGACCCCGAGGGCGTGGAATGGGCCTCCACGGGAGGTGGTTGAGGCCCCATCGGTGCGGGTGTTCAAGGACAGGCTGGACGTGCACATGGTGGGCATGTCGTGAGCAGAGCCGGCTGATGCCGGAGGTCAGACTAGATGGCCTGGGAGTCCCCGTCTGACTCGCTCTGTTTCTATGTTTCAATGTTTGCTCTTATTTTTTATCCTCGGGAGGTGCCTGCAGGTAAGCCCATTTTTCGTTGTGAGAGGTAACGTTGGCGGAGAGGAGTCTGCGAAGGATCACAGCCCACCCCTCTCTGCCGGCTCTCCAAAAGCAGAGAAGGGAAGGGGGCTGCTTCCCCACAGTCATAAATCACACCCTCACCTGAGAAATATCTTGGACTGCCGTCTCGTACAACCGCTGCACGGCATAACCATGCAGCTCCTTTGCTCCTCCGATCAGGTGGATGAGGTTGGGCACGGCGTCGTCACGCACGTATGAGCCGGCCTGCAAAAGCGGAGGGAGAGCTGAGAACGCCACGTTCGCTTCCCCCGGGAGATGCTTCTCTGCTCGGCTGTTCCTTTTCTGGAAAGCGTTGGACAAGCTCCTGCAATTACTCGGTTCTTCCATAGTGAAGACCTTGTCAAGGGACAGGACCTGCTGCTTGGGGAATCTGCACGAGGGGGACGATTGGACAGGGTGCAAACCCCCAACTCTAATTTTCACAACAAACGTAGGAAGACCATTCCAGTGGGATGCTAGAAATGGAGCAGGGAAGACGAACAAGTGCGTTGAAACAAAAGCATGTCAAGCATGCTTTCAAAAGCAGGAGAGTTTGTGCTGTGAAAAAGATGTGGTTTGCAAATCTTAGCTTGTGGGTTTTAAGTTTCTAGTCCACATGGTCTTGAAGAAATTTCTTTTAAAATGTCGGAGGTGAATAGAACCCACGAGGAGGAAAATTCTTTCCTTGGCTACACTGCTCTCTGCTCCCTGTGTCCTGCACCTCCTCCATCTTACCATAGTCAGAACTTGAAGGACAGTGTCAATGTGCCATCGCTTGTTGGGCGCAAACCTGGAGAGCGGAGGAAACAGAAAAGGCAGGAATGTCTCAGACCCATTCCCTGTGTTTAGCGTTTCTCCCAGCCAGTCGTTCTCCTTGGCCGGATCTCCAGCACTCCTTGCAGAAAATAACTGGAGCAGACTCACTTTTCAGCTGCGAGGAATATTCCAGAAGCGCAGTCCGACTTCAGGTCAGGCGAACACGTGTCAAGGAACGCCAGCAGTTCCTTGGTGGTCGTCCTCACGTTGCTGCTATTCACCAGGGCCAGACTAAGCTGCAGGGCACGCCTGAAGAGAAGAGGAAGAGGATAGGCTGGGCTGGCTGGGGATGATGGGTGTTGGAGTCCAACGGCAGGGAGGCCGCTCTTTACTGTGCAAGTTGCTTGCAGCCCCTTCTGGCCTCTCTCACCTCTTCACGGTCGGGTCGGGGTTGGCCAGGCAGGTGAGGACTGTGGCCCGGTGCCTTTGAACCGCGGTGTTCTCTGCTTGCAGCAATTTCTGTAGGGATGTGAGCGCCACGTACCTAAAAGAGAGGGTGGGACCCCCAAGCGCACAGAATTAATTTGTGGGAGTGGCGAGCACGAGGCGCGAGCAGGAAACCGACCCCCAGAGATTGCCCACAGCGGCCGTGGTTGTACATCTTGCTCCAGCTTCCCCTTTCCCAGCAAGGAAAGCCAAGGCGAAGAAGGAACTGCTTCAAAGCCGGGCTGGGGAACCTGCGGGCCGCGGGCCGCACGGGCAGTCCTGAGACTTGTCGCACGCGGCCCCCGTGTCCCGCAGCCGCCCGGCCACTGCATGCCAGCTCCTTCGCTTGGGATTTGCGTCCTCAGTGCCGTGAATGATGGAGACTTATTTTATATTGTTATTTCTATGTTGTGAGCCGCCCTGAGGATTCAGCGAATGGGGCGGCATAGAAATGTTTTAATAAATAAATAAATAATATGATGGAGAGGTGCAGAAGGGACAGGGAGAGGCTGGAGAAACCGGTGTCCCCTTTGCGGTGACAGGTACAGGCTTAAAGAGAAAATGTGTGTGTACGCAGCTGCAGGAGAACTGCTCCTGGGTAAGAGAGAACAAGAAGGAACCGGGCCGAGGATGAGGGTCTGAGCAGAGGGAGGACCAAGGCCCAGCCTTGGGAAGCGAGGGAGCCTAGGAGAAAGTTGTCCGAAGACAAGGGAAAGTAGAACAGCACTGCAGTTACTTCCAAGGGGTTCTGCCTCACACATGCAATAATTAGTTGATTGCCTCGCTATTGCTCTGTTCTTAATAAATATTGCTGGTTTGCTTTCTTCAATCTATTTGATGCTCGATCTGGCCTGCAAAGATAACTTTCACCTCTCCACGTCTTGCCCTTCTGGGGGATCCCACCAGCCAGACAGCAATCCAGACCATGCAAGCTCCACCCTCTTTGGCTCAGGCCCCACCCACTGGATCTGGCTCCACCTACCATCACCTGCTGCCCCCTCCCACCAGGTGAGTCTGGACAGGAAAACAGTTCCCCACCTAGATGGTTGCTCGAGGTGGCCTATAAAACAGCTCCCTTCAGGCCCTTGGGATCCAGCCAAATCCTAGTTAAAGGTACAGTTAATTAATGTTGCACACGAATTTTGGGGGAAATTATGTCTGTAAGCAGATTAATTTCTCTTTTATTGCCTTGCTGCGCCCTGTGCAGATTCAAGAAATGGAAGGGACCCCTCATCTAGGGGGGATTTTGCTGGAATTGCTTTTTCCCCGGTCCTGTGCCTACACAGCAAAATGGGCCTCTGGGCGCTAGAAGGACGGCCCGGCAGGTCCCCATCGATGGCAGGAGAGGGAAGTGGAGGGTCCCACAGCAACAAGGATGAGTCAAGGAACCCTTCCCCAGGTTCTCCTCCATTAAGATCTCTACAGATACAACAGCTACTCAGTCCTGAGCTGGGGAAGACAAAAGATTTCTGAGGATCAATCACTAAGTTTTACGGTAAGCCTGACTCAAATACTTTCACGAACAAGTAGCAATTTCAGGTGACTGGGAAGGCGGGGAATTATCCAGCCTGATGAGGGTTCGTTCCGCTTGGTGGTCCTTGCCTTGGCTCTTTTACCTGATGTTCTGATCCTTGTTGAGGAGAAAGCGCCCAAGAATATTTATAGCAAGAACCTGTGTACAGAAAAAGGAAAGTGCCGTTACTGCCCCCAGATATCATGTATACAGGATCAAATCAGCAAAGCTGGAGGTGCAACAGACCAGGTTCACAGGAGAGAAAGGGCACATGCAAGTCTTGATTCCAGCCCAAAACCCGGCAGTGGATTCCGCAGAACCGAGCGGACCCCAGACAAAACTGAAGGAAGGAGAGCTCAGAAAGCATTTAGGACAGAGAAACGTATGTGCGGTAAGATTCAGCCATACCCGGAGTCCGCTGGTCGACTGGACACCCATGATGGTCAGAACAGTCTCGTACAAGATGGCGTTACCCACATTCCGGGTTGTCTCTGTGTTGGTGGCCACCTGGGCCGAAACATGGGGAGAAAAACAACAACAGAAAGATGAAGAGTGTCACTGCGGCAGTTGGATTGCGGCCTTGTCCTATGATCCAGGCCAGGCCTACCAAATACTCGTCAAAATGCCGAGAGCAGGTGGACCACCATTAGGTTCATCGGGAGATGAAGCCCTTGTTCTCAGAAGCCCTCTGAGGTTCACCCCCTGGCCTCGGGCACCTCTCCACCTCTTTCATTCACCTGGGCCAAGGAGTCATTCATGGCCTCACTGACGTCGTCATGGTCTCGTCCCAGAATCCTCAGCAGACGCAGGATCTGTACCTGTGGAGCAAGGATGGCTTGGAGAGGCAAGGAGAAAGAAACAGGGAGGATGTGACCCAGTGAGGAGAACCGCAGCCTTCTTGGTTCAGTTGGGTGATCCATCCCTTCGCTGTTTGGCCCACTGATGTCCTACAGCAGCGGTGGGGAACCTCCGGCACGCGGGCCACAGCGGACACATTGAGCCCTCTCTGTTGGCATGCAAGTCAAGTCGGCCCAGCAGCACCCCAGCAGCAAAGAATTGGTTAACAGCATGCACAGGGGCCATGCTCGAAAAGGAGTAGCGGCGCCAGGTGATGAAGTCACAAGCCACAGCTCATTAGCCGTGACTCTTCTGAGCTTTCGCATGGCCGGTCAGTGCACTGCCAAAGAGATGTATATATTTGCTTGCACTGGCTGTGAGTTGTTTTTTCTCAACTAAAACCTCAGTTTTCGGGTTTTATTGCAGTGTTGGCACTTTGGGATAAATAAGTGGGTTTTGGGTTGCAGTTTGGGCACTCGGTCTCTAAAAGGTTCACCATTACTGGGTTTGGGTTAGAACAATGAGGTGTCCTGGCATGATTTTGATGGTTGGAATGTGTTCAGAATGGGCAGAAATGATGAGCTGTGCAGAAAAAGCTACTCAAGGACGGCTTTTTCAAAATCGCCCTCTTTTCAATGGAACTTTCGCCCTATATTAGGGGTAGGGGTGTGCACCAGGGTAGGGTTAGGGTTAGAAAAACGAGGTGTCCTGGCATGATTTTGATGGTTGGAATGTGTTTAGCATGGGCAGAAATGATGAGCAGTGCAGAAAAAGCTACTCAAGGGAGGCTTTTTCAAAATCGCCCTCTTTTC